GGAGCTGTATTGCTTTCCCCCTCATAATGTTTGCTTGCAAGCTCAATGTAACTGTAGAGACTTTCTGCCCTCCAAACTCTAAATCTGATTGATGTGTTTAAATGTACGAGGGTCTTCCAAATTATGATGGTGAGGTTCTTACACCAGTTCAAAACAAAATCTTCTCTGTTGTATCATGTAGCTCCTATAGAACTTCACTACCTGCCTCTTGGAAAATGTGTTCCAAATTTAAACTTAAGACTGGGAATTGATCCTTTCCTACACCACTAATGCTATCTATCTGGCCAGAAAGCCTGGAACACTGCTGCTTTCTTTTGTTTCATGTGGTGGTGACAGCAGCATCTATAGTAGTGGGGAAAGTAAACACCGTCTCTGTGGCATGGGCTTTTGTAGCAGTAGCAGTGACTGAGGAGGACTATGTACTGCTAGTCTAGTCTATATCTAAGGACTTTTATAACTCAGATATTTTACATTTAAAGATAGACTTTAGACTGGGCACAGTGACTCATGCCTATAATTACAGCATTTAGGAGGCTGAAGCAGGAGGATTGCTTGAGCCAGGAGTTTAAGCCTAGGGAACATAGCAAGCCCACGTCTCTACAAAAAAAAAAAATTGCCGGGTATGGTGGTTCATACCTGTAGCCCCAGCTATTGGGGAGGCTGAGGAGGGAGAATTTCCAGGAGTTCAAGGATGCCTGGACAACAGAGTGAGACTCTGACTCAAAAAAAAAAGTATTGTCTTAAAAATTATGTTCTAAAGTTATGCTATCTGTATTGGACAGCACAGATATTAAGCATTTTCATGAGCATAGACATTCTGTTGGACAGCTCTGATCCAATGGATCAATGCTTTATCCCGTTAATTGTTTTTTGCAGTAGGCTGATATGGAAAATATGTAGCAGAAAGGAGTAGTCGTACAAGAGTATAGAAGCTTAGGTAAACTTAAATGGAAAATTTAATAAACCTGTCCTGTGTGTTAAGTTACAAAGAATAATGAATATTACAGTAAGTTGAAACAACCCAGTTATAGAATATTTATGGATTTTCTTTGTTCACAAAGCGTATTTTCATGAAAAATTTTTAGCACATTATAAAGAGAAATTCGGTTTGGTTGCATGTATATTATCTTTTAAACCTGATAAAACTTAACTGCTTCATTGCTGAACTTCAGAGGTTTTTTTCTACAAATATATGATGTTTTTAAAAATTGATCTATTGAAGTATAGTTATGTGCAATAAATTGCACCCATTTAGTTTGATAAGTGTCCATACCAACGTAACCACCACCCTAATCAGGAGACAAAATATTTCCATCACCTGAAAAAGTTTCCTTGGACCACTTGGCAGTCAAGACTCTGCAGCCCACCCCCTACCCCTGGCAACCACTAATCTGACTTGTTTTTATAAATTAGTTTTGTCTTCTAAATCTTCATATAAATGGAGTCATTTTGAGTATGTACCCTTTTTGTTCTAGCTTCTTTCACACAGCATGTTTCTAAGATTCACCCATGTGTTGTTGCATCCACAGGGGATACATTCCAAGACCCCCAGCAGATGCCTGAAACCTCAGATAGAAGTGACCCCTGTATATGCTATTTTTTTCCATCTGATAAAGATGGTTACTGACTAACAGGCAGGTAATGTATATAGCCTGGAGAGTGGGACAAAGGGATGATTCATGTCCTGGGCGGAACAGTGTGAGATTTCATTATGCTGTTCAAAACAGCATGCAATTTAAAATGTATGGATTATTTATTTCTGGAACTTTCTATTTAATATTTTTGGACTACAGGTAACTAAAACCGAGGAAAGTAAAACTGTGGATAAGGGAGGACTACTGTCTTAGTTTCTTTTTGTTGCCAAGTACTATTACTATGTGAACATATCACAGTTTGTTCTGAACATGTTTTTATTTTCTTGAGTGAATATCTAGGAATAGAATTATTTGGTCATATGGTGAGAATATTTTAACTTTAATAAGAATTTTCCAAACGGTTTTCCAAAATGCATATTGCCTTTTGAAGGAGTCTGTTACTAGATAGTAATAATCAGTCATAGTTAGAACTTTCTTACCATAAGAATGAATTTGTTATAGATAATCTTTATCAAGGAAACCATTTCTGTAATGAGGCAGCCGCCTCCAAATTAGAAACTGTTTTTTTATGTCCCTAAACTTTAGAAATGTCTCTAATGGTATTCTCTTCTTGGTTTCATGGACTCTGTTTTTTCACTCCTGATTGTGAAGTTGAGAGGAAATTCCTTCTATCTTTGGAACAGCAGAGAAAGGAGGTGGAGGAATCCCCTGGGCTATGGGTCAAAGGGCTGTGTAGAGGGTTTTTCTCTAGAACAGTCCTGTCCGGTAGAAATATATCATGAGTCACATTTTTTTAAATGTATGTAATTTTGTGACACGTTATTTAATAATCACAATAAAAAAGTAAAAACAAGGCTGGGTGTGGTGGCTCACCTCTGTAATCCCAGGACTTTGGGAGGCTGAGGTGGGAGGATTGCTTGAGCCCAAGAATTTGAAAACAGATGAATTAATCTTTAAATATTTTTATTTAGCCCAATATATCCAAGCATTATTATTTATACATATAATCAATATAAAACTTTTTAATGAAATATTTTATACTCTTTTTTCTCCATATGCTAAATTTGCAACAGTTGAAATGAAAAATGTAGCCCTGTCAAAATCATAAGGTTGTGTTTGATGGAAAAATATTCTACATTTTTCTTGTTTTTAAATGTAAGTTAATTGAAAAGAATCCAAAATTCAGTTTCTTGGTCACACTAGCCCATTGCAAATGTTAATAGCCACATATGCCTAGTGGCTTCCATATTGGACAGCAAAGAGGACTGCCTTTGGGACAGGAAAGAGAAAGTGGAGGTGAGAGATATGCCCAGTTGCAATTCAATTTACAGTAGAAATACCAGAACTATCTGTGTGAAATTTGAGTTAAATGGATTTCCTGTTGTCTTTTGAGAGCCTAACTACCCGCTTATCTCTAACTTAAATGCATGGGTTTTAATGTGAATTGCAAATGTGCTTTTAGCTTGACTGTTGAGCTACCTGGGTTCAAATGCCATCTCCACCATTTTCTATTTGTGGGAATTGAACAAGTAACCTCTAAGCTTTACTTTCACCATCCATAAAACAGGGACTATAGTAGTACTTCTATTACTGTGATGATTAAGTGAGATAATACATGCAGAGCATCTTGTAGAATACTGGCAGCTTTTAGAAGATAAGCGGTGACTTTTAAAAGTCCAAACCATTCTTTAGATGGAGACTGTAATTTCTTTTTTATTTTTAAAAGTATGTGGATTTTTTTTAACCTGCCTAAAAATGATACTCATTGATCCAATAAATACTGCCTGTCAGAACTAGGTACTCAGCTAGAACACAAAGATGGAATGAACATGATCCCCATTTTAAACGACCCCACAGTGTCCAGCATCAGAAACAACACAGTGTTGGATTAATGTACAAATAAGAAAAGTAAAATCAAGAGAACAGATTTTTCCAACCATCCCAAAGAAAATAAATCCTATAGATAAAAACTGAGTTTATGAATTAAAAATTTTATAGTTCTGCAGGTACTCTAGCTTCCTTTAAAATATATATCCACAATTTAAATAGTTAAGAAACCAGGTTGACATGGATTTGAATTCTTAGTGATTAGTAGTAGCCTTTATTTCTGCTACATGGAAGATACTGCTTTGTTTTCTCCTTGTGTTGACTGTCTTTTCCTCAGCTGTGCTTGCTTTTTAGTTTAGTAGTTTGTGTTTATCTGACCAAAAAAAAAAAAAAGATGGAGAAGTCAGTTCATTTAGTTCAAAATTCTGAAATACAGAATATTTTTAAAGTTACTATTTTTTTTTGTTGTTGTTTGTTTTTTGAGTTGGAGTCTCACTCTGTCACCCAGACTTGGAGTGCAGTGGCCACTCCCGGCCACCGCAGCCGACCCACTGGGCTCAGGCAATCCTTCCACCTCAGCTTTCCAAGTAGCAGGAACTACAGACACGCGCTACTACGCCTGACTAATTTTTGATTTATTGGAGAGATGAAGTCTTGCCAAGTTGCCCAGGCGGGTCTCGAACCCGCGGGCTTAGGCAATCTACTCACCTCAGCCTCCCCAAGCAAGGGATTACAGGCTGAGCCACCGAGCCCAGCTTAAAGTTACTACTGTTAAATATAAGACTAAAAAGTGAGATAATGTAAAAATAAATGATTAAAATAAAATTATGCCTATAGTACATCTTTTTCTTTTTAGAAAGCAAGATTTATTGAGAGGACGGAAAAGCTCCCAGAGTGGGAGGGAACCAGGGGTGTTACCCAACTTTCCTTTTTAATATGAAAAAATATATATCCTTTGGACAGTTAAGATCTCATTTTTAAAATTTAGAGGCTGAAGTAATATTAAAATAAACTCTTAATTTCTTAAAATTTTTGTTTTTAAAAGCTATTTCTATCCAAGTAAGACTCCAGTAGGCCAGGGCCACCACACGCAGCCATGCAGGTGTGGATTACACATAAACTATAGTGTAAAAGGTGCACCCAACACCATGCAGTGAACAAGCTACACAGCTGAACATGACCATCCTACAGCACTCTAAAAATATTTGTATCATTTTGGTATGAAATAAAGAGGTCTTGGCTATGTCACCTAATCTAAGAAAGCAGGTTGCAAAAGAGCATATTGAGGGAGCAAAGAGTGTAGAAATGAGAACAAGAAGAATTACTGTTGTAGCAGCAGCTGCATGCCAGGACCTCACCTGAAGTTCCCTCTCTTCCTCCCTGTGCTGCTGTTACTTTTTGACCCATGAGGGATTCTAGAGCAGAAACCACAACAAGCCCCTCAAGATTCCATTCTACCTCTATGGTCACCACAATAGGGTAAGATTTAATGTTCAAAGATTCATTTTATTGACAACTCTTTGTGATGGTATCATAGCTGTCATCTATATCTATAGAGACTTATAATTAAAAAGTTACCTTTCGATTGTCTTACATGTTTTTCCATCAACTTTGTCTTTTTCTGTTTTACTTTTCTTTCCTCACATTCATTCCCCTGAGAAAAGGGGATGCAGCTGAGAGACAAGACTCTCAGAGGAAATTAGGAGAGGATTTGATATAATAAGAGAGAGCCAGAGGGGGGGAAAACAGAAGAGAGCATGAGAGAGAAAAGAAGTGAGAGAGAAAGAAAAAAGCCAAAAGCAGGAGAGAAAAACGGCACAGAAGGAAAGGGAACTTAATTTGGGTCTTAAATTCAAGTTATGTTCTAACCACCTCTTTGAAAACGTCTTTATTCTTTCTAGTGGAGCTCACTGTTAAATTTCACAAACAGGTTCCCTTTTAGGGGCCTCCCTCCTTTTCTCTTTTAGCCTGGGTTTCATAAACAGGGAATGAGCCTGGCTGCTTAGGATTCTAAGGAATCTGGCTTATAATATTTAAGAGAAAAGTGGAAAAGAAAGGTGGGTTGGGGTGAGGAGGAAACTCCTAACATTTCATAAATGATTGTCCCCTCTCTTCTCGAATCTCTGTCCTTTGTCTCATCTTTTCCATCTTGGAAAAATATCATAGGATAATAGATAAGCCTATCATTTGGGCTCACTGCAAAGAAAACAGGAAAGCTAAGGAGAATAAGGCCTAGACATGTAAGAAAAGTTAAGAAAAGAGAGAGATGGACTCAGATGGAGAGAGATGGACTCAGATCTAGAGAGCCAAGCTTAGCCTGGGCCCTGCCTAGTGCATAATCTCGTCATAAAAACAGTGCATCTGAAGTGCCACTTTATGCAGAACCATATGCAGAAAGGAGAAAAAAGGTAATTCTCTCAAACTGCTGAAAGGTTTGAGGGCTGAATTAGAAACCATGGTCCCAAACTAGCATTGCCCTGCAGCGGGGTGAATGTGAATCAGACAAGCTTGATAGTACTAGGAATTTGTTTCACGGCTGCAGTCATTATTCTTCTACCTAGGATAGAAATTAGAATTACAGATTCATTTTTAGTTTACGCTTAGATGAAATTTAATGGAATGAGGGATTAAGATTCGACTAGTCTTTGCTTTTCTTTGAGGTAAAGAGCATTAAGTGTAAGAATGTACCAAAGGGGGGAAAGTGATTTAGAGGAGAGTGAAAAGGGGGAAAGAAATGCTAATCAGGGGGAAAACTGAAAAACTATACAAGCCTAAGCAAGAAAAAAATGGGAAACATGGGAGAGAAAAGTGGAAAGAATTGAGAAGGCACATAAGAGAAAACAAACAGAGAAAATAATTAATACTTTGTGGAAAACTGCATGCCCATTTTGTATATTGCACCATCCTTATGATTTAACAAATTTCAGTGAAATTTCACTGCTCATTTTCTTATTTTTGCTTAGCTCCTGGTTTCCAGAGCCCTATTTCAGGCTGCCTGCTAGATTTACACAGACCACCACAGACATCAGCTCATAAAATCATAACTGCCAAAAGGGTCTTGAGCTAATCACACCCTTCTCATCGTCCTCCCCAACCATAAGCACACACATTTTATAGGCAAGGAAGTAGAAGCCCAGAGGAATTAGTGACCATGTAATAGAGGAAGTGCCACAATATGAGCTCATACCTTGGGCCTTTTTTTCTAACTTCAGTGTTTAATACCTGATTTCTTCATCTTTTCCTTCTAATTTTTTTTCTAGTTCCTTTCCCAACTTGTTTCGTGGAGTTGCTCTCTTCTAGTCACGTTGTCTGTCAAACTGTCATCTCCACAGGCAATCAGCCAATAACTCTTACTGATCAAGTATTCGTGTCCTTGTTTCCATTCTGACTGTTTCTTACCTGAATTGAGACTTTGGCACCCTTCACTAGAACATTAGAATAGTGTCCTAACTGGTCTCCCTACCTCTGGCCTCCTCCAACCTCTCTTAGAGACTGCAGTCAGAGTAATCATCCTAAAATATAACATTAATTTTGCCATTTCCCTGTCTTTCAGTGGCTCCTCTTTAGCTACTTAACAGTTATATCCAAACTTCTTAGCATGATCCAAGATTTCCATAATCTGGCTCCTGCCTTACTTTCCAGCTTTATCTCTCACTCCTCCAATTTAACATGCCCAGCCAGCACTTTCCCATTTCTTTGCTTTTGCTCACACTGTTCCCTATATGAGATATCCTCATTCTCCCCTTTCCTAACTCAGAGAAAGACTGCCTCTTTCACAGTCTTACCACTACCTTTCCTGAACTTAGCATAGTTTCTGTACTTTTCTCTAAAGGTATCCATAACATTCTGGTTTATGTTATTTGTGTGCATCTTAAGGCCAGGTCCATGTCCTGTTGCTTTTTTTATCTCTCTCACAACCTACCACAGTGCTTCGTATATGATAACTAGGAATCAAGTGCTTGTTCAATTGAAAATAATTGAGTCTGTGCCAGAAAACAGGTAAAATAATTAGTCATATATAGAATGAAGATAAAAGTGTCAATGTTCTACATTAATTTTTTTCTTTCTTTCTTTTTTTTTTAGTTGGAGTCTCACCGTCACCCAGGCTGGAGTGCTGTGGCATGCTCATGGCCACCGCAGCCTCGACTTGCTGGGCTCAGGTGATCCTTCCGTCTCAGCCTTCCAAGTAGCTAGAACTACAGGTGTGCACCACCATGCCCAGCTAATTTTCCTTTATTTATTTATTTATTTATTATTATTTTTTGAGTTGGAATCTCACTCTGTCACCCAGACTGGAGTGCAGTGGCCGCTCCTGGCCACTGCAGCCTCTACCTGCTGGGCTCCAGTGATCCTTCTGCCTCAGCCTTCCAAGTAGCTGAAACTACAGGCGCACGCTACCACGCCTGGCTATCCTTGATTTATTGAAGAGACAAAGTCTCACCAAGCTGCCCAGGCTGGTCTCGAATCCCTGGGCTCAGGCAGTCCTCTCACCTTGGCCTCTCAAAGTACTAGGATTACAGGCTTGAGTCCTACATTAATTTCAAACTTCTATGGCTAAATAAATGAATGCCTCAGAATGCACATAGAATGCACTAATTAAATGCAATATTAGTACTAAGGTAGATTTTCCTTGATTTTAGCAAGTAAGAGGAAAATATTTGCCTGTACTAGGTATCTCTGAAATTTCTACAAATTTAGCTTAGTTCTTGTGTGAAATACAATTTGGTGTAGAAATTAATAGATAAAAATTCTATACAAAGGAAATTTTGCACTTTTCTTATAAACTACAATAGCATTTTCCCAGAAGGTTCTCAGGTTCAATACTATGGACTGGAATATAGGCCAAACCACAGTACAGTGAGATTCATCTGGCACTTTTGGACAGCCTAATGGGAAGGCCCAAAGACAAATCTCGTTGGTATAAAAATCTATCCTATAATAATTTTCTTTTCTTTTTCTTTCTTTCTTTTTTTTTTTTGAGTCAGGGTCTCACTCTGTCACCCAGACTGGAGTCCAGTGGCACAATCACAGCTCACCACAGCCTCAACCCCTGGGCTCAGGAAATCCTTCTGCCTCAGCCTCCTGAAGAGCTGGGACTATAGGTATGTGCCATCATGCCCAGCTAAATTGTTTGTTTGTTTGTTTTTATAGACAAGGTCTTACTGTGTTGTCTAGACTATTCTTGAACTCCTAGGCTAAATCAGTCCTTCCACCTCTGCTTTCCAAAGTTCTGGGATTATAGGTGTGAGCTACCATGCCCAGCCACAATTTGCTTTTTTTCCCTTTTTAATAGGACTGACTCTTGTAAATATGACCAAAAATGTCTTCAAGTAGTCTTGCTTTTTGAAGTAGTATTATTATTTTTTTCTCTCTACTTAAGCCAAGTTAAATGTTCTGCTATGTTCCTTCCATAATGTTCTTTAATGTGCATGACCAACGTTGAGGCCTATTTCATCTCCCAGGTTAGATAGTAACTTTGAGGTGGGCTAGCAGCCAGTAAAGGGAGAGATTTCACAGGTGCCTATAGGGCAACCTCCACGTCAAAAATTTGTTGTTACAAGTTAAAGATTCTTAGACATGGAATAGGTTAAGAAAAAGCTACCACCCCCAAGAAACACTAAATAGTATCACCTGACAATGAGGCAGAAGCTAAAGATGTATGCAGGAAGAAAAGAAGAGCTAGGTGATATTAGATTTACCAAAGATACAGTTGTGGACCATTTCCCTTACATATCAGCAAGGATAGGAGATCCTACTGCTGTAGTTTGGATTCTGCCTGCAGAACTAGCCTTGAATTGATTCCTGCCTGATGAGTAAGCTTCAGGGATCTGGGAAACTGAGCTCTGCCAGTGCAGAAAAAGAAAAGTGAAGTAATGAAACACTATAATGCTTTCCACTTGAAAGACAGCCTGAGGATAGGCTTTGAGCAAGAGTTTCTCCAGTATGGGGCTCTCAGAACAGAGCACAGAGAGGGAAGGGAATGCCTCAAAACCTCTAGCTGAATTCATTGCTCTTAACTACTATACTCCTCCAGGAACCAGAGGTGACCACTAGATACCAAGGGTCACAATAAAACGTGCAGTGGAATTTGTTCCATACCTGAAGTGTCTGAATCAGTTCTTATGCTCCTGTAAAAATAAATAGCACATTTCAAAAATTTATCAGCATAACCACAAATATTTAGAAAAAATTTACTAGGTATGAGATAACCAGTCATTCTCTAAATGTTTTGTGGGTAGTGATGAAATATATTCAGCAAGCAAGGCTATTACTGATTTTAGAATATATGAGAGTAAAATTACCTAAGTTTCTGTAATATGCAGGCTATTCAACCTATAAAAGTCATAAAAGTAAACTGTATGTAATAATGTACAATCTAAGCTGGGCTCGGTGGCTCAGCCTGTAATCCTGCGCCTTTGGGAGGCTGAGGTGAGTGGATTGCCTGAGCTCGCGGGTTCAAGACCCACCTGGGCAACTTGGCGAGACCTCATCTCTACAATAAATCAAAAATTAGCTGGGTGTGGTAGTGCACACCTGTAGTTCCAGATACTTGGGAGGCTAAGGCGGAAGGATCGCCAGAGCCCAGCAGGTCGAGGCTGTGGTGGCCGGAAGCGGCCACTGCACTCCAGTCTGGGCGACAGAGTGAGACTCCAACTCCAAAAAAAATAAAATC